GATATGATTCTGTTCTCTTAATCTTTTTGTCACCGTCTATGGTGAGTGGGATTGGACACGCTTAGGAGAATTTTTCTGACTCTGTGGGAGGCCCCAGGCTCTGCTCTGATGCTGGTGGAATCCCTCTGATCCCTGCCTGATGGCCTGTTGCTTCCTCTGGATGAAACATCATTTGTACCATTATGTCAAGGGATAGAGGAAGTACATTTATGGGAAATCAAGTTGCTTTGTCAATTCCAGCAGAAAGATGATGGAGCCCTTAAAAGGAGGGTCTCCTGACTTGATATCAGAGCTCAAATTTCTTTTTTCCTCTCTGGTGAGGTAAAACTAAATTGGCCATCAGAGTCACTGTTTTCCCCATCCCTCACCTAACCTCACTGTCTGGAGTCTGTAGCAGAGTTAGAGGGGACAATCTCTGAAGGTGATGAGGCCTTCTTTAAGGAGACACTATGTCCCTGCTCTATGTACTTTTGTTCTTACATTTATAGGACACTTCTTCATTCTTTCAGGAAGGCAATATGCCATGCACTAGACACTAAGGGAATAAACTTTAAAAGGCATAGCACCTACCTTCAAGGAACTTGAAAACCGATGCATCTGAATACAATGACAATGAAAGGTAACACATTCAAGGAACAATGGGAAATGCAGGAGAAGACACCTAAATCAGCCTCAAACCTCAGGCAAGGTTCACATTGGATGAGCTAAAGTGTAAAGGTTAAGTACAAGTTTTTCTGGGCAAACAAGCAGTACTTAGGCATTTCTAGGAATCAGCAGAGAAGTTCCAACATAGAAGAGAAGAGGCTGAAAGAAGGGAAGGACTGATGAAACAGATGCCACAGATAAAGCAGTTTTGAAGAGGAGGGAGAGATGGAAAGTGTCAGTTTCTAGAGAGAAATCAGAAAAGATAAGAATCCCTTATCTTCGCCTGTTGGGTTTAGAAAATGATAAATCATTGTAGACAATGGTGATAACAGTGCCTGTGGAAGAGAGGATGGAGGGGACTGTTAAGAAGCCAGTAGAAAGTGTATTAGTTTTCCATGGCTGCATAACAGATCTCCATAAATTTAGTGGCTTAAAATGTTTATTCTATTTATTTGCTCTGCTACTGTGATCTCTAACCTTTTGATTCATTTTTTTAAAAACTCACTTGATTAGGTCATATCCACACAGGATAATCTCATGTTTGATTAACTTTAAGTCACCCGATGGGGGACTTTAATTACATCTACAAAATTCCTTTCCCTTTGCCAGGTTCTATTAATTAGAAGCAAGTGACAACTTCCACCCATACTCGAGGAGGGGATTATACAAGAGTGGGATTCTGGGAAGTCACTTTAGGATGTGTTTGCCATGAAAAGGAAATCAATACAGTGATTGTATGGTAAAGATGTAACTGTCAAGAGAACAACATGTACCTATAACTATGGGAAAGACAGGATCCACAAAGATCTTAGTGTATGTATATACATACATTTCTAATTAGCTTTTATTACTTAACAAACCACGCCAAAATTTAGTGTTTATAAACAACAACCTTCTATTTAGCTCAGAAATCTGCCAGTCAACAATTTGGCAAGGTTCTGCCAGGTGGTTCCACAAGACTGGATCTTTGTTGTGGTTCACTTATGTGTCTGCAGTTGGCTTCTGGATTGGTTTGAAGATGTTTAGCTGTCTGGTGGCTTGTTAGTTGAGATGTGGTATTGTATTTTCCAGCAGACTAGCTGGACTTATTCACATTGTGGCAATGTTCTGCACTCAGCAAGCCAGTAAGCTGCAATGCACACTGCTTTTCTAACCACTGCTTCTTATATCACATTTGCTAATGATCTACTGGCCAAAACAAATTATATGGCCAGTTGAGCTAACAGGGCAAACAAAAGACTTTGCCTTTTTAATGAAAAGACTAGAGAATGGTGAAAATTTTTATAGTCTAGATGATATTTATTATGATGTTTTTAAATATTAGAAAAATTCTGCTTTATATTTATGTTAAGATGAGAGAGCTAGTAAAAAAACAAAAAGGATGAATACATAGCCTATGAGGATAACTGATGAAATGTGATCCCTAAGACAGGATCTTCTGTGACTCAGAGTACATAGAGAAAATTAACCTTTAAAAAGTGAAAAGTCATAATTTTTCTAAAATAAAAAAAAAATGAGAGTAGATCAAGAAAATTGGATTTTCCTGGTAATCTCAGTTTTCCTTGGAGAAAAGAAATCTAAGTTGTTGAGTACAGTGAGAGAATGGTGAGAAAAGGGTTGATGGTGAGTGTTGACTTTTTGGAACATCTGTTTTTCAGAACAGGCGGGAAAGCTGATGACAGCAGAACATTGCAAGTATCCTGTGTTACTAGGATTATGTGAATGTATTCCAGGGTTCAGGATAGTCTTTCTAGTAAAAGAGAGTTTTGAGAATGACTTTGGAGGAGGTGTGTGGTAAGGAGGCTCAAGTAATTGGAGGAGGGTTTGGGATTGGAGTACATAGTCAGGGGTAGTTCTGAGAGATGTTTGAAGCAAAGGACTCAATAAAGATCAGGTTAGAAATAAATAGTGGAGGAGAAGGAGAACAAGTTTGAGGGAGAAGAAATTAGAGTAACAGTAACAAACCTAGTAACAAACAGCAGGAGGAGTTATTAATGGGAGAGAATGAAAGGATGGAAATAATTTATAGACATCAATAGAGAAATAAGGGATTTACAGGGAAGAGGTAAAGTAAAGTCTGGGCAACTCACTGAGCATTTGACAGGTATCCATTCTTTCTGCATAAAATCATTCATGTCTTTAGCTCCTCTTTTAAAAAACTTATTGATGAGAGGAACTCAGGACGATGAGTATTTTTCATTAAAAAATCCATTCTTCCCTCCTTGGAATTTTAAAGAACCATGGTGCCACATTTTTATATTAGGATAAATTAGAATAACATCAGAGTATATTTACAAATTAGAAATGAATATATTATAAATACTTATTAATATACAGGATGCAAAAATATAAAAATATGTGGATTAATATAAATGATAAACATTCTTAGATTTTTCAGAGTTTTTCTCTTAGAAGTTCTTCATAATCAACTATTAAAAAGTACAATAAAACTTTGAGTTACTTATATTAGCTAAAATATGACTTCATATAGTAGAAAATTTGGTAATTAGAATCCATATTCTTGAAAAAGTTTGTTGGAACAATATTTTTCTCTGAATGAGATCCTCAAAATTATGGCCCTATGATTTTCTCATGACATTTTGACGAATAATCAGGATAAATTAATGAGTTTGTCATATAAATTGAAGTTATTTGGAAACATGACTGAAAAGATAATGGGATTTTGGGGGGTTTTATTACTAATTTATAAAATTCTTTACTAAAAGCTGTGGCACAACATGAAAGGCATCCTACCTGGTCTTGAAATGTTTTCATTCCTTCTGTGAGGAGACCATCATTGGAAACAATAAGAAAAGAATTTCATTTATGATTAATCACATGAAACAGTTCTACAACCACTGACTAAGTAGAATTGTTTCTAAGTAAAACTTACATGAGGGAATGTTTAAGCTTTCTTTCTCAGTTTCTCTGCTTGATTTCAATTATCCCGTATTTATGGATATTCTGGGTTATACCAATGTACTCAAATATTATTTATTGTGGCAAGAATTTTGTGTTGCAAATACATATGTGGCTTACATATAAAAAGAAATTAATATTTTGTGTATGTTTGCTCAGAAACTGGAAAGTCTGGGATGAGTTGCTTGAATTTATTAGTTTTAAATGTTTTTCAGAACTCAAAACTATATGATATGAAAATCTTTACATTAGAACTGATGGATACCTTAACATGGACACCTTAAGCAAAACCAAGAAGTATCTTTTACTGAATTTTTAAATCAACCTTTTATTAAGTTTAAGTATTATGGTCATACATTTTCCTGCTATGTAATACAAAAAATATATACATATAAAATCACTTAATAAATATTCATTATTTCCCCAAATTCTTGGTTAGACACAAGTAGTTTCTCTTATGAATTGATAGAATTGAATCAATAATTTTGAAAGAAAACCTCTGTTTAAAAGATTTGTCTTTAGACTCACTTATAATTTCAGTATTTGTCTTAAAAATAGAGCACAGGAATACATATACCCTGTTATTCCACAGACTCATACTAGCCTAGCTTGACAAGGATACATTATTTCTTTATTGTCTGTTTATTTTGTGTGGAATTGATGAGTTAGTTGCACTGTGTAAGGTAGATTACATTTATAAAGTACTCTGGATTCCTTTGATATGAAAGCATATGTGCTTCTTTCAGTAACAAACAACCAAGTTGTTTGTTATGTGTTTATCCTGGCAAGTAATTAGGGAAAATATTTTTGTAAGCTAAAATCCCCTCTCTGTTTTGGACTTTGCTTTCACTCTCTCATTGTTTACCATTGTATATTGATACTGGATGCTACATCTTTTGAATTCTGGGCATTTCTTTTTAGGTTCACAACATGTAACAGTAGTCCAGATTTTTAGAATTTCAAACTTTGAAGTACGTTACATTTTTAAGGAATGTAGTCATTATTATTATATGATGGTTTATATTCTTACAATGAAAGAAAATCTATTTCATTTTCCGAGGGAATTTTGAAATTTACATTGATGGTGATTTAAATCTTTTCAAGTCACACAATTCCAAATTAAGATAACACTTTTAGATTCTGTCAATGAGTAATTTCTAAATGGAAATATGCAAATATAATTTAATATTGATGCTCATTCCGGGGAACAAATGAGCTATTGTATATAATACTTCAAGTTTTTTAATATTCTTTTTCAAATTCAAAACAGTGCCTCTTTGGCAAAACAGAATTTTTTCCATTTTTATGGAGGTTTAGGGTGCCTCTTTTCATGTAAACTATTAGGACTGTTTGCATAAACACACAAGTGCTAAGACTATTTTGATAGTTTCACAAATAATGTCCTATTACAATCTGTCTGTTTCTCTCTCCTCCAGTCAACTTCTTCTTCCACTACCTCTGAGCAGCTTGCCTGTAAACCACCTGCTTTCTCCTTTGTTTCTCCAACTAATCAGAAAGCACCACCTGACCCCGCTAAGCTCGGCGGGGCCTCTGCCCTAGAGGAGTTCCACACTAGGAGGCTGGACGCCAGTGGGGCCTTGGTGGAAGAAACAGCTACGTATTTTCAAACTTCCACTCACTCGTCACCCTTTTTTGCATCGAAAGGCACCTCCTCGACGTTTCAGTTTCCCCATTCCACTCAGTTATCAGGTTCTAATTTGTCCAGTCCCAGTGAAGCAGATCAAAAACCTGGACGGACATTGGAAGTTCTGAAGAAGACAGCGTCAGCCTCACATGTCCTTAGCTCTGGAGAAAGTCTGCGACCCTCTTCTCCTCCACTGTCCTCCAGTGCTTCTCTGAAGTCGAATTCAACCTCATACCTACCAGTCCGTATTGTCATGCATTCACTCTCTCCAAGTCCAAAACCATTTACTCCCTCTCTCCATGGCTCTTCTTCCACTCTCTGTAGCCCAATGTCTTCTAGTGGAAATCTCTCAAGGTCAGGGGTGAAATCCCTGGTGCCCTCCCGGCTTTCTCTTCTCACTGCCATCCTCAAGTCAAACCTTTCTCACCAGAGACCCTTGTCCCCTGCATCCTGTCCCACTTTCTCTCTCAACTCCCTGGCTTCGTCCACACTCACACTTGATCAAAAAGCAAAGCAAGCCCCATCCACACCTAAAAAATCTCTCTCCAGTTGCTCACTGAGCTCCAGGTCTCCTGGGCAAAGGGAACACCAGGATTCTGAATTTAGCCAGCCATCCTTTCACTTACCTTTTTTCACCCAATCTGCTCCCCTTCCTCAGGCACACCCCCTTTCTCCCACAAAACATGAAAGTAGTAGCCTTGCTTCTTTGAATGTAGAGAAGACACCATCACCCACTTCTCTAAAGAGTAATTCAATCCCTTCCCTGCTGCAAACAACACCGAGTCCTGTAGGTCTTCCTCCTGCTTCACAAAGATTTTATCCTTTTTCTTGGAAGAGCAAAAGGGATGCTGACCTCAGGGGTCCAGAAAAGCCCAGGGATATTTACACATATCCTTCTGCATCAGCCTCCTCTATGTTACCGTCTGCATTTCCCACTAACCAAAGAGCCACACTCTCCTCTCCAGAGGAAAGTTTCCATCCTTCCCCAGTTCTTTCAGACCTGCTACACAGATCCCAGAGAGCATCACCACAGCTCTCTGGCCAAGGGCAGAATCCTTCTGCTCCTACTTCACCGCCTGTCTCCAGTGCTAGCTCTGCCTCTCTTCCCAAATTGGGGTCCTCCCCTCCCCCTCATGCTAATCTTCCCACTCGGGCACCCCAGCTCAGTCCTTCCGCACTGCACCCAAATTGTGGCAGTGGCACCTTACCTTCAAGATTTGGGAAATCGGAAAGCTCAATATCTGACCACAGGTCATCTGTTTCAACCCCATCACCTTCCACCTCTCTAACAAGAACCAAGGAGCTGATTTCACCTTGTGCATTTTCCATGCCAACAGACCCTGAGAATAAGAAACCCAAGGTATTTTTTGCATGTTGCATGGTGCATGCTTATTTTGAAATATGGAAGAAGACTTTTTTTGCAGAGGGGGTTAAATCAGTGATTATGACATTCTTTCTATTCCTATGAGAAAGTGCAAGTGTGGGGCTAGGGTGTGGCTAGGATTTGGTATATTTGAACATGGAGTTGAATTATAATCTGTCTAAAGTTGTGCATGTTTCTGTGAAATTCTGATTTTGTGTATCCTCCTGTTATGATAAATTCTTATATTTTTATTGTTTTAGGCATAACATGGTTTATATCATTGATTCAAGAACTGGAATTTAAAGCAGCTAGTAGAGATTTGGTGATATGATACATGTCTAACTATTTAATAACATGGAGTCAATTATCCATAAAAAATATCCTGTACTGAGAGAATTATAGATAAGATTAGTGTAAAAAGGAATATTATCTTAGATCTAGGCCCATATTCTAGGCCAAGCCAATTTAAAAACTTTCTATTTCCCTTGCCATCATTCATTTATAATTATTAATTTTTCCCCTTCTACATGGTTGATTTCATTATTGCTCTTCATACCTCAAGCTAAATCAATATGCATTTAGCTATATCCACACAGGGCAAAAGGGAATAGAAATTTCCTTTATATGTGAAAATGATTTGATTTATAATAAACACAAAAAAACTTAGTAATTTGAAATACAGAGAAAATAGACAGGCTGGGTATAAGGAAATAGAATTAAGAAAGTAGAAATATTGACTTTTGAGTGCTCCAAAGCAACCCACTGAGGAGAGATGTGAAACTGGCATTTGTTTTAATATGAGAAGGGAAATATTTGAAGGAGTGATCCATAGAGCTCATTTCTTTTGGAAGAAGGCAACACTGCTATAGAGCATGCCAGCTTCCCAGCTATTCTCAAATAATTAGAATGTGCATATTATACACCCAGAATTTGGTCATTGCTATGTAAATAAAATAAAATTATGAAAGTGCTTGTATTAAGAGGGAATTCAAATTTTCAGTTCAGTGCATTGAAGTAACACAGTTTTACTGCTTCCAACTTCCATGGAGACTGTGTCCAACTCTGTTTGAAGGATGAAGTTAGGATAGGAAAGATAAAACAACTCACATGCTCTTACTAATGATGTAGTTTAACTTAAAAAGCATGCATGCATTAAACACCCACTGTGTGCCTACCTCTATACTAGACTTTTTTTGAGATGTGTGTATATATGTGCTTCTGTGTGTGTGTTTAAGGAAAGTAAGAGAGCATTTTTTTTGTCTTAAAATTTTTCATTCAAAAATACATATACATAATGTGGAGAAGCTATCTAGAGTTATTAAATCTACAGTAATGCTGAAAAACAAGTATAAGGAAATGTTAACATAGCATAATGTCAATTACATATAATTGTGCACTGAATTTGATATAATAGAAATATTATGAGAGTCAGGCCAGTTGAAATATTTAGTATTTATCTTAATGAAGAGAAAGGAGTTGATATTTCAGAAAGGGTAAATAACTGGGCAAATGTATAGAAGTTGATTCCAGGGAAATGTATGTGGAGACATAAGAAGATTGGCTTATCATTGAATAGTGATGATAATAGTAATGATGATTATAGTAACAGATATCAAATGCTTTCTGTGAATCAAGATATATCTTAGTAGTTATTCAAAATAGCTAAAAATTAATTAAAAGGGACAATGTCAGTTAATTTTATGACCATGAGATTGGTAATATTATTTTCTTCATTTCATACACCAAGAAACTGAAGTTCAGTGAACAATTTATTATGTTTCATTGCTGTAAAACAAAAAAAATCAATTATTATTTTAGCTTTATTTAATAATTCTCATGAAGGAAATCATTGTTATAGAATAATGATAAGAATTATCAATTTATATAATGTTTGAGCCATTTAAAAATGTATTCTTAGAAATTATTAAGTCCTTGCATTTTAAACTTTCAAAGCAAATAGGATAGAGAAAAATCTAACATTTTTATAATTCTAAATTGAAAATCTTGTATATTTGAGGTAAAATGACCTAGCGATTATCTCCTTAATGCATATGCTATTATGAAATTTATTTGTGCTATATTACAAAAGCTTGGTGATGTAAACATGACCATTTCCTGAATTTATTAACAAGTATTGCCTGAACCCTATGGCCATGCACCTAAATCATTCCTCACCTCTGTGGGAAATGACTGGACTCCAGAGGCTTCTTCCAAGTGTTTCTGTATGTGGTCACTTTGCTTCGTTCATGTTTTGTCCTGTTTTTGGAGAGACCTGGGAGAGGCTTGGCCCAGCGGGGCTTTTGCTAAAGCTAAGTCCTTTTTTTTAAAAAAAAATATATTTTATTGATTTTTTACAGAGAGGAAGGGAGAGGGATAGAGAGTTAGAAACATCGATGAGAGAGAAACATCGATCAGCTGCCTCCTGCATACCCTCCACTGGGTATGTGCCCACAACCAAGGTACATGCCCTTGACCGGAATTGAACCTGGGACCCTTCAGTCCTCAGGCCGAAGCTCTATCCACTGAGCCAAACCGGTGAGGGCCTGAGTCCTTTTTTGGTTCTAAAATCAAGTTTGTTAAAGACCTGTTTTTCCACAGCTCATTAACTGCTCCCAATATTAAAGAACTTTCAGCATTTGCCCTCTATTTTGTTTTATTTTCTTTGTTTCCAAGCTAAAAACTAAGCTTCTAGAAACTCACAATAAATTTGATGTAAATTAAAATATAAAAATATCGAGAAATTATAATTTATCTATTTTTACCTGATCCTTTGAACAGAAAAATATTTCTTATAATGGGTAAAACTTGTGATAACTTCTGCAAAAAGAGTCACTCTTTGAGACATGCTGTTCTTTGTCTATTTATTTCTTCCTTGTTCTTGCTATTATCTCTCCAGGTAAAAAAAATCAGCCTGCGTATTTTTTTTTTTTATTGCAAACTATTTTTGCAGAAATTGTAACCTGAATATAAAAATTCATTAAAATGGATTCTGGAATAGGTAAATCTTATCCCAGTTTCTTTTTGATGTTTGACTAGTCTTTATTAAATTGCTAAGATTACTTTATAGATTGATAGGAGAAAATAGACAAAAGCTTTGGGATATCAAAGAATTCATGCCTTTATGGATTGTTTCTTGTCTTGCTCCTTCTTCTGTGCTGCTAATCTGAGCACAGGGCTATCTTTGAAATTAAAGAGCTTCAGATATAGATCAGTTTCACTTAGTGCCAGATCCCAAAAGGAAAGAGGTCCTGGAATACAAATGGCCATCATATTAAAACATGAATACTTGAATGACATTAGTTCAAAGTCTGGGCCCTGCTGGCCTTTGATATGAAAATAAAATGGAACAGTAGAGCATGCTGAGCTAAATTCAGGTAAAAAGTATGTGTAATGTTTCTTTTTCATAGATTGAATCTTAAGGTTCTGAATCTGCGTGCATTAGTTCGATACAGTTGACATATTTTAATATCAGATATAGTTAAGAATAACATTTCACAATATGAGCATGGCTGTAGACAGGATGGACATTTCCCAGGATGTTGCTCAGGCTACTCTTTGATCAGCATCCATGTTGTCTGAGATATTTTTAATCCCTTGGGAAAGTCTAAATATCACAAAATTAATCCATGGAGTTGTATTCAGGTTGTAATATATTTCGCATTTAGTTATGAAACAGTTTAAAATTTCTCCTAGTGAGTCATGATGTTCCATACACTCACCCAAGATGATGGTGTGCCTGTGTTGGCCTTAAAGTTATTTGGAAACATAGCATATTTAAAGAATTAGTTGGGAGCTTTTTGATATTTTATGAACTTGTAGGTGGTATTTTTTTTAAATTTTTTTAAGGATCTTCAACATCATATTTTTCTTTTTTTAAAAAATTTTTTTCTTTATTGATTAAGGTATTACATATGTGTCCTTTAAATAAACTCTTTCCTTTAAGGCATCAAAACATTTCCAAATATATCATACTGGAAACTTGGTGGCAACAGTCTCTATGTAATTTTCTCCATTTCTGCTAATCCGTATATAATATGGGAAATGAGCAATATGAAATATACCTCCATGAGCTAAAATACTTAATGAGGGTTCAAACAAACCACTCATTCACTCAATAAATATGTACTGAGTGCTTATTATGTGCAAGGATATGTGCAAGGCACTTTTCCAAGTTGTAAGGCTATATTGCCACAAATAAAATAGCAAAATGCCTGCTCATAGAAAGTTTATATTCTGTGGTGGCACAGAAATAATCAATAATAACCCCCCCTTCCCAAATAAGTACATTTTCTTGTGTGTTAGAAGGTCATATGTGGTAATGAAAAAATATAGCAGGGTAAGGGATGGTGTCACAAATTAATATTGGGTGGTCATAATAGGTTTCTTTCAGAAGGTGACATGCAAGGAGGTGTTGCTCATGGGAGAGGATAGTCAGGAAAAATCCCTGAGGCCAGAGAGTGTTTGGCAGATACAAAGAACAGGGGAGCCAGTGTGGCCAGAGTGGAGTGAGTGAGGGAACTTGAGGTTGTCAGAAGGAGATGTAACTGTGAGCTATTGTAGGCCTGTGAGATCTTGCAGGCCACTTCTAAGTCTTTGATTTTTAATTTGAGTAAAACAGGAAGCAATTGGCGTGTGGGGGGGAAGGTTGAATAGATAACTGACAATCTTATCTATCTGGCTGTGTGTGAAGAACAGACTCTAAGAGAGTGAGAGAGGAAGTAAGGAGACCTTAAGAGGCTATTGCAGCCCTGGCTAGTGTTGCTAAGTGGTTAGGTGAGGATTAAGAACAAAAAAAAAGAGGCTATTGCAACAATCTAGGAAGTGATGGTGGCTCTGGGAGATTACAGCAGTGAAGACAAAGATAATATTTCTGTATATATTTTGTAGGTAGAGAAACATTCAGCAATCATTACAGCTAGCCACATGTGAAATAGTAAAACAGCTAAACTACACATACATACCTTCTTGTTTCCTTTTTGTCTTTTACTCTACCTCCT